GGATGAATGGAATACTGATGAAATCATAGATGAGCATATTTTGAATAATAAGAGGTTGATGATAAGAGGGGAAGTAGCAGGAACAGGTAAGAGTTATATATGTAAGCATCTGAACACCAGAAATTACAGGGTTCTATTTGTTGTTCATAGCAATGAGTTAGGGCAACAATGTGGTTGTGAATGGACTACCATAAATAAGTTTTTTGGTATTTCATTTGGAGATGAAAGACTGAACAAGTTTGATTATTCAGGTTATGATGTTATAGTGTTTGATGAGAGATATTTTCATAATGTAGGCAAGTGGGCTTTGATATGGGACTTTGAGAAGAAAAACCCTGATAAGATTGTATTAGCAACTGGTGATACAAAGCAATTGAATAACCCAGAGAGAGTAAGCAATGTAATTAGTTTTGAAAAATACGCCGACCATTGTATTAATTTGATTTTCAAAAATAATATTATGCTTTATGAATGTAAGAGGTTGAAGACTGAAGAAGATAGGCAAAAGTTAAGAGATGTTAAAAGGTTGATTTTTGAAGGCACACCTTTTAGAGAAATCATTGATGCATATTTCAAATGGACTGACAAGATAGACATGTATGATAATAACATTGCTTATACAAACAACACCTGTAAAATGGTTTCAAGCAAAATCAGAGAAATGAAAAATATAACTGAAGAATATGTGATAAATGAGGAGGTGATATGTAGAAAATATATTAAGACTAAAGGCAAGAAATTTAATGTGAGTTTCAGATTTAGGATTGCAAATATTGTTGGTGATATTGTTGTTTTACAAAATGTGGCAACTGGTGAGAAGCAAAATATAGAACTGAAATTATTGAGAAAGCATTTTATATATGCTTACTGCTACATCGCTCATTCAAAGCAGGGCTGTAGTGTTGATGGTGATATAGTGATATATGATTGGAATGAATGGTATGTTAGTAAGAATTGGTTTTTCACCGCCCTTACAAGGGCGACATACTTTAACAAAATCAAGTTTTTCAAATATAATGAAGGTCAAGAAAGTAAATCTAAAAGGATAGTAGAGCAGTATTTTGAGAGAAAGGTTTTAAATTACATTGAGCAAGACAAAAAAGCAGGTAGAGATGTAGAAGATGGGGATTATGTGGATGTAGATTTTTTGATGAACCTTATGAATACCCAGTGTGAAAATTGTAATGAACCATTGGTGATAGATTTTGAAGATGGCAAAATTTCATCAAATATAACCTGTCAAAGGGTTAATAATGAACAAAGCCACTTCAAGGATTATGTAGTTGGATATTGCGTTTCTCGTAATTGCGCATTTAGTGATAAGATAAAAACTATTTAAAAACAAAATGATGTTATAAAAAAAATATTAAGATGTCAAATGAGTGATAATAAGTATCAAAAGGGCAAAAATTATATGATTACAGATGTAGCATACCAAGAGCGCTACTATGGTTCAACTATTGAGCCACTACCAAAAAGAATGATACACCATAAACATAAGTTTTTCACTTGGATTATGAAGACAAACCGTTTTTTAGAAGTGTAAATTACATATTTGACAAGTTTGGTTTTGAAAATTGTAAAATTGAATTAGTAGAAAATTTCCCCTGTAATAGTAAAGAAGAACTGACAAAAAGAGAAGGGTTTTACATCCAAAGCAATGACTGTGTAAATAAACATATAGCAGGACGAACCAAAGAAGAATACAAAGAACAAACAAGAGAAAGAAAAAATGAAAGGCAACTGGAATACTACTATGAGAACAAGGAAGAAGCGCTATTGAAGCAGAAAGAATATAGACTTGCCATTCCAGAGAAAATATGTAAAGGAGAGGAAAAAACAGTATTATGAAAAGACAAAAGATATGCGCCAACAGTATTTTATATGTGGGTGTGGAAAACCAGTTCAGACTTGCTCAACATCAAGACATAACAAGACAAAAAAACATCAAGACTGGCTGCAACAAGAGCAAGAATAAATGATATAATATATACTTATTATATCATCTATTCTAGAATGAGTGATAAACAGAAGATTATTAGTGATATTTATTTTGATAAAGCGGGCTATGGTTCAAGAAAGACCACATTAGAAGATGCTAAAAAGAAAGAACCTACAATCAAGAAAGAGGATGCTGAAGATTTCTTTAGAAAAAATGTTGAAATAAAAGCAAAGCAAAGAGGGTATAATTCCTTCACAGCACCAAAAAATAATCATACTTATCAAATAGATTTGTTCTTTATGGGTTGTTACGATTTTGATGAGGAACAAACATTCAGAGGTGGGTTAGTGTGCATTGATGTTTTAAGCAAGTATACCGTTGTAGTTCCAATCAAAACTAAAAATGGTGAGGATGTCCTTGAAGCAACTAAAGAGGCATTAGGGAAAATGGGTAAGAAGCCTAAAATGATTTATACAGATCATGAGAGAGCAATAGCAGGTGAAGACTTTAAGGATTATGTGGAAGGTGAAGGTATAACCTTACATAGGACTAGAGGACACCCAGCATTTGCTGAAAGATTTATACGCACATACAAAGATATGCTTTTTAAAAGAGTAGAGGCTGATGAAAAGAAGGGTAAGGAAAACATCCAATGGGTTGATTACAATTTAGAAATTATGCTGACATACAATGATAAAATGAAGCATTCCGCTACAGGTATGACACCAAAAGAGGCAAGGAAAGATAAAAATGAATTCAGAGCAATGCTGAATGTAGCATCAAAGGCAAAGAAAGAAAGAATATACCCAACATTAGAGGTGGGAGACAAAGTAAAGATAATGAGAAAGAAAGCAATTACAGACAAAGAAAGAACTTCCCACTGGCTAACAGGTTATTATGTTGTGCAAGAGATTGCAGAAAAGTTGAACCAAACATATTACAAATTAACTGATTGCCCGAGATTGTTGGTGAGGCACAAACTTTTAAAGATTTATATAGTGTTTTTAGAAAGCCATGATGCAACCATGATATGGTTGATTTGATGTGCTCTTTGGTTTCGTGGTTTTGTTTTGCCCTTCATTTGTTTCTCCCCACGAATTTGTGTTTGACTGGGTCATTGGCTGGGATTGCTCCATGTTCCTTTGCCCTTCCTCGCCTTGGCTTTGTCATCAATCTCTTCTGCATCCTGTTGTCGGGGCGCTCAGCTGTTGGGAACATGTCAGTTGGAGGTTTGAAGCCACATGTTCTTGGAGAGCTTGAACTTGGAATTTGTTTCAGTTTGAGCATCTTTGACATTCTCAGTTGGAAAGCTACAGAAATTAGCTCTTTCAGGTTGAGCTTGGAATTTTGTGTCATTTCTCAGCATGAGCAAAACCACTGGGGCACGCTTTTTAGCTCAGGGGTGTCGGCAATTTCCATGGCGCCAATCCGTTTTTTCGCTTGCCTCATCATCCTGGCATTGAGCGCTGGAGCTGCAGACACCAACAGCACAGACACTGTGGATGCCTTGCAAACCGTGAGCTGGGAAAACTTAACGGAAAATAAGACCACGACAGTCAATCTCCGAGGTGCCGTGATGAATTGTTGCGGGCAACATTGCAAAGATCATTGCCGTTGTGGGTGTCGATAGGTAGGCATTGTTTCAATCGAGCATTCATGCCAGTGAGCCTTCACAAGCTTGACATTCAGTGCTTGCTTCGCCAACAGGGCGACTTGCAAAGCAGTGCTCTGAGCAGATCCTTTTTGATTGAAAAGGTCTGTATGCACAGTATATAGGTAGGCATTGTTTCAATCGAGCATTCATGCCAGTGAGCCTTCACAAGCTTGACATTCAGTGCTTGCTTCGCCAACAGGGCGACTTGCAAAGCAGTGCTCTGAGCAGATCCTTTTTGATTGAAAAGGTCTGTATGCACAGTATATAGGTAGGCATTGTTTCAATCGAGCATTCATGCCAGTGAGCCTTCACAAGCTTGACATTCAGTGCATTCATGCCTGATACAAAGACAAACCCTTCCAAAACTTTGAGAAGACTGGCGCCAACAAGTATGGACGCGCACAATCCTTTTTACTCCATTTCGCCCCAAAAGTTTGGATTGCTGTGCCATTTACACCGCGCTGAGGTTAAGAAGACATGGTCATCAACAAGTTCATGAAGGGCGGTTTGGGCAGGGTAATTGCGGATTAAAAGAGATTTGAGACTGAGAAAGATGTGATGCTGTTGTTATATGCTAGTTTGTATGTATGCTGGTATTTATGCTGGGGGGTGGGATTGTATATTGGCTGGGGGCTGAGGCTTCCCCTATAGGGGGAGACTGTGGTAATTAATCCCATAATCTTCATAATAAATGACTATGAAAAGTATGTTGATTATCCCCATAAATTTGATAAAGTAATTCTATTAAATTTATGTTGTTATTAGGTTCTAGGACTATTTCTAGCAATTATGATTTCTAGCAATAACACCTATGAAATAGATAAGGTAAGATGATATATATATATATATATTTGTGTATGCTTTGATGAAAATTATTCAATACAATTATGATGATTATATGATATAATTTTTACGAATGAGATTGATGAGATGGGTTGATATGATGAGCTTGTTATGGTTTATGTTATTGGTTTTATTAATAGTAGGTTGTTAGGATTTTTTGTTTTGTTGCTTTGTTTTCGTTTGTATTTTGTTTGTAGTAGGTTGTTTTGATTTTGTTATTGTGGTTATGACTTATGGTATAGTCTTTTTTATAATCTATTGTATTGTTTAGGTTGTTTGAGTTTTTTTTGTTTTGTTGTTTCGTTGTTATGATTTATGTTATTGTTTTCTATAAGGTGTTGCTCCCCTGTCTTTGGTATTAACCCCATAGAATTTGCTTGTATAATAATGTGGGCGGTTAGATGAGAAAGACAGGGGGAGCACAAGGCTAACTATATATTATCCATTAATATCATGATTATCCCAGTATTATTCCTATTATTAAAAAGCTATTATATTATCCCAATCCTATATGGAAAACTCTCCATGGAAAAAGCTCCATTGAATTCCGGTGACCACCAGGTGTTGTGCAGCTCCAGCTGCGAAGAGATGAACTTGACCTGGGACTTGAGCTGCGCCCCAAGGCGCCGGTGGACGAGGTGCGCTATATGGAGACATTCGTATGGGAGATGGGAGAGAAAAGTACAAGTCTGTAATATCAATAATTATATAATATATAACATGGTGATATGATGATATAACTATAACATACATATATATATAGAGTGATATATGGTGATTACATGATGATATGATGATATATGATATATGATTATATATTATACGGTGTTATTTATATATATATATATATATATGGTCACCCCCCTGGAACCTACCTCTGTTCAACTTATCTGCTTCATCTGATCTTCTCCAAAAAAGACAACTTCCACTTCCAATGGCACAAACTGATCTGCTTCATCTCATATCACCCAAAAAGGATCACTTCCAATGACACGAACTCATCTGCTTCATCTGATCTTCTCACACAAGGACCACTTCCAATGCAATCCTTCATTTGTTCCACTCCTTCATGAAGAAAAACGGAAAAAAAACGAAAAAACCAAAAAAACAACAACGAAAAAAAACGAAAACACCTAGATCTCTGATAGAATGGTGGCCTCACACATATTTCCCTGCATGCCAGACTAGGTTTTTTTGTTTTTTTTCGGTTTTTTCGGTTTGGCTTTAGAAATTCTACAAGTCTCCTGGGCATTGTGAAGCTTCTGCATCACTTGGTTGCCTGGTTGAATGCCTTTCCTCCAGTTACATCCACATGTGCCTCAGCCGCTGCGTGTCCAAAGGTATCGTTCGTCAACCGCCCTTTCCGCCATGGCCAAGGCACCTGAGGACATGACTTTCGAAGACTTGGAAGCAGTTTGTGCTGGGTACTGTTGTCGTGCCCTCACTGTCCCCTTCGTGTCTGGCGCTCTGCCGCTTGGCAGCTGGAGCCACGTCAACTTTCCAATGGCAGATATTGAGGAGCACGATGGCAACCCTGCTGTGCATTACATACACGTCATCACCCGTCATTCTATGGAAATTTTCTTCGGTGACCTTGCCCTGCAGTACAAGAATGCCATCATGCACAAGGACCTTGATTTGTTGCGTCGCCCATTTGGTCCCAAGGTGGCTGTTCCAAAGGATACAAAGCTCCAGTTCATTGTCCTTGACTCCGTTGATGGCACGGTCACTGTCTTCAAGCATTACATTTTCCCACAGAAATGCAAGCCATCATTTGTCAAGAATATCAGCTTTGGGCGCTTGTACCGGCCAAACTTCATGAGCCAGAAGTCCACGGTTGGGAAACAAATCCTTCAGCACTGCTTGCAGAACATGGGAGGGCATCAGTTCCGTTGCTTTGACATCCTTACAGAGGTAGCGCCTGGTCACTCAAAAACCAAGGCCTTTGATGGGGTCCTGGCCCGCAAAGAGTTTGATTGGCCATTACCATTGACTGAGAGATTCTATCGCAAATGGGCCTTGCAAATGTTAGAAGAAGTTTGGAACTTCGACGTGGCTTCTTTAGTGATGCTTGGGGAGCCCAATACCGGCAAGAGCCCGCTTTGCCGTAGCATTCTCATTGAATCGTGAGCGCTTCCATCTTGAGGACAAACCTTGTCTCCGAATCACCCCTGAGATTGACTTTCTGAGGGGCGAGGCAGGCTCTGTTGTCATGGGCGACTTCCTAGATGACCCAGAAATGCAGCATGTAGGCATCAAGATCTCGAAGTCTTTTCTGGACGTCGGCCTGTTCGAATCGATGGCGTGGGCTCGATGGGGAGCGGCGAAATGGGTGCAAAATCAGCCTCGTGCTGTTGCAGCCAACGCCTATGAGGCCAGAGTTGATGAAGGAGATCGCCTTGTGCCAAGCTTGCCTTTCCAAAAGTTTTGGGAAATGACCGTCCTGCTATCTCCGACAATGCTTCCAATGCTGATGTCAATGCCATACTGAAGAGGTCTGTCTTCATTGTCGTCACCAAAGGCTTTGTGTACCACCGGCAAAATGGTGTGAATGAGGATCCAGTCTCTATAGGCTTGCCATGGATGGCGTTGACTTTCTAACTTCTGAGGCAAAGGAGTTCTATGGCAAGTTCAAATCCAACAACAAATGCTTTCCTCCTGGCTTTGACGCAGAATGGCCAAAGAACAAATGTGGCTGTCCATGGTCATGAAGAAGAAGAAGGTGGACAACCGAAGGCAAGATGCTCAAGACTTGGCCAGGATGCGAGCTGCATTATGGGGTGATAAGGACAAGAACACTTCATGCTTGGAGGCTGCACAACATCGCATTGCAGTGAAGCAGGAGATCTTTGAGGATTCATCCCGTGATGTTGCCAAGCGAGCAAAGATCTGGAGCCAGGAGCATCGAGCTACCCATAAAGTGATTGATTTGGATTCAGATGAAGAGATGCCCGCAGAGCGTTCCTTGGAGCAAGACCTGGAACAAATGATTGATGAAGCTGATCTGATGGATGAAGCTGATGGTTTCCACGGGGCCTCCTTGGGTTGAGCCTCCGTTCCTATTTTGCTCCGCTCTTCAACTGCTTAGGCGCAGTGAGGGGGTCACTGTGTTCATGTAGAGAAGTGCTTGGAGGACAACCCTTGTTCTAGGCAACCTCCGGTTCGAGCAGCTTGCATCCAGCAAAAAGTGTCGTTCCTCCATTTGCTTTCATACATGTCAGCAAAGTCTTGCGCATGCTGTGGCAACCTGCAGCTCAACAGACTTCCAACCTGCATCCGGTGCAGAGAAGTTGGTCATCTCGGTTGGCATGTTTCATGTTGGGATGTTTCATCCTTGCCACTCCTTGCGTGTATCTGGTTTCCAGCAGCCGTTTGCCTCTAACTGTCATCCGCATCCTCTCACATAGATCGTGCCCCGAGATGCTGAAGCTTTCCATGATGATATCGGGCGACATCTGCTTGGCCTGCGGCGAAAAGGGGAAAGGTCAGGGCAAATATGAAAAGGCCTGCCAGAGCTATGAAGGAATCCAGCAAGAAGGTTCCATGTGTTCCCTACACTCGTGTCAAAGGAGTGCAAACAAAGTTTCGCAAAGAACGTGCTCACTATGGGGTCTCCATTCAATCTCTCACAAGCATGCCTGCAGCGCGGTTGCTCCACAAGTTGACTCAGGATGGCATCCTGCCGCGGTGGACTGGAACTACATGTCCTCATTGTGCGGCTGGTCGCCTGGGTCCTTTGAAGTTCTTTCAGCAGGAGCAAGTCTGGGTCCATCGGTGCTCTCGCAAGGCTTGTCAAGAACGAATCCAGCCACATGACTTCCATCCAATTTTCTTTGGTGGACATGGTGCTTCCATTACTCCACTGGGTCGCCAGGCAGCCGTGCTCCTTTGTGCCTTAGCTGGTGTACCTGTGACATCAGTGCCAGTCATCTTGGACATGGACGACAAAGCCGTGTTTCGAATCTATGGGAACTTAGAGGCGGCTCGCGCTCGGCATGTCGACGTGAAGGAGAAGGACATTGTCTTCGGCAAGGCAGCGAAATGGTCTGATGTGGTAAGCAGATGAGGTGGACTTAGGCAAAGATCTATGCGAGGACGGCTTATCTCGGGGGTGGGCTCGTGGAACGGGGGCGCGCAAACACTTTGGTTCTCTTCTGTTTGCAGCCTTCTGATACGAAGCCTCGGTCACCTGGCCCTGGTCCCATCCGTCGTCTAGAGTGGCGTCCCATTGCCATGAAGCACTTGAAGGTTCGGCAAGTGATACTTCACACTGATGGTGCCAAAGCTTACAAGCTTGGCATGTCCGGCGTCATCCATGACAACGTTGTACACAAGAAGAAGAAGATCCTGGTCAATGGTAAGCAGACATGGGTGAGGCCTCACTATACAAAACTTTGCACTCATACCTTGCCAAATGGCAAGAAAACTCGTGTGAAAGCAGGAACTCAGGTGATTGAATGTGATTGACAGGTTTTGGGGACATGTACGCGCTGCATTCACCTCGTCGCGTGGGCTCTTGCGCATTGAGGCGCAAAATTCGTGCAGCCCAGTGGACGTACTGGCACAAAGGAAGTGATTTATGGAGTGCCACAGCGAAGATGGTGCAAGACTTGCAGAATTAGGCAACATGACGCGGTGCGGAACAAAAGATTGCGTCGCGCTGCTCGGCTTGCATGTCCACATTGTTGGCAGGTTACACCCGGTTCTGTTCTATGAAAGGTCATTTCCAGTTGCAGTATCTACATCGGCCCCCTTGTCCAATGGCGGCAGCAGAGTCTCCACCCTTGCAGTTTGAAGACGACTTCTGGGAGTGTCTTGCTTCAATTATTTTGAACAACTGCTCTGTCTTGTCCCACAGAATCCCCACCTAAATATGTTCTTTGCGCTGTTCAGGTCTGATTGGATTTTACCACCGCCAAGTGATCCCAGCTGGTGGGAGAGACGGCCTTGGGAAAGGCGGCCCCGTGATGAGGTTGCACCACCGCCACCGAATAGGGACCGCTCAAGAAGCCCGCTCAGAGAACCGATGACTCCACCTGGCCCGCCCCCCCCACCCCCCCGACTTGCTTCATCCTGGTCACAGAATCCCAGTGACCCCGCCGGAACTGTTGGAACCTGCGACGCGCACGCCCGAAAGCCAGTAGATGGAAGCTTGTTAAAGCCTGTTACTGTTCCATTCTTCAAACACTTATTGCTCTATACTCTATAGTGGTTGATGTGGTTGTTGTTTGTTTTCCAAAAACTGAGGCTACTGTGTCTAATAGCTTTGCCAATCATGCCGGATGAGCTACCATGGAAACAACCACAATTTCTTGGCGTTGGAACTAGTTTCTGGCTGCCTTATATGTCAATGCTGCAACAGCCACGCTTTCTTTGTGTTGAACTAGCTTTCTGGCTGCCTTATATGTCATTATTGTAACAGCAACAAGTACTTGGTGGTGGAACTGGCTTTCTGGCTGTCTTTGGATTTTTTGTGGCGCCACATAAGACCACCTACGATATGTGCGAGAGATGCGTGAAGGAGATGCTTGTGTGCGTGGTGCTTGGCGTCCATGGTCAGTAGTTGTCATAGCAGCTGCAAACATGGATGTGTGTATATAAATATATAATTTGTTAGGTACGCAGTCGTTTTTGCAATCATAGTATAACCACATTCTGGGTGTTTATGTTTTGTCCCTGTACCAGCGCAACAGCCCAAAAACATTGTATTTTCCATGTAAATACCAGTGGAAATATTGTTTTGGTAGGTTCCAGGAGGGGGGTGAGCACATGTATATATACATATATATATATATTTAAATATATATATATAGTGTTTAATGATGTTATATTTAACAACATATTACTTTTAACAGCATCTATGTCCAACCCAAGGCTTGGTTGATGGGGACGATCACTTGCAAATGGGGATTTCTCACGTGGTTTCACTATAGCTGTTTTGAGGATCTTTGATGGAACTAATGGTAAGAAAAAAACATACAACATAACCAGCAAATTCAATGGTATAGTAGGTGTAACAGGTGTATATATTGTGGTTGGTCCAAAACTGAGATTTACACTCCCACAAATGGGTATATTGATGATAAACCAGTGCATTTTGGGGCACCATAGTTTTGGACAAATCATGTGATTACTTTATCTATATTGGTTTATCATGTCCCCATGATAGTACGCTATTCTCCATTACCCCTTGGCTATTCAACGTAGCGATCTGGAAAATCACCATTTTTTGTAAATTATCATGTTTATCATTTTCTTCTATGGGCCTTGTTCGCAAACTGTTAAATAACCAGAGGGTATCATTAAACATATTCCACTACATTCCATTATATAATATTCCATTCATATTCCATTAGTATCCGTTTGTTCATGGTTAAATGTGTTTCCTTAGATATTACCCTAGGGTAAACGTTTACATTGATGTGGAAAACCCATAGGACATCAATATATGATAGTGATTACCTTTTCTACAGTCTAGACATATGATAGACATCAATATCCATCAATATCCATCAGTATCCATCAATATCTATTATATTAGTTCATTATTATTTTCTCTTCATTTGCGGGTTCTTTTCCCTCGCCATCTCCTGATCCACCGTAGGTCGTGGCGTTGGAGCAGATCAATTTGACCCGGAGGCGGGGGTGTTCGCCGAAAACGATGGGGATTCAACCGACAAGAGATGGGAATTCATAGTTGATGTATAGCTGATTTATGGGACCTGAATTTGTTTGTATGATTTTATATTTTGGTTAACTATGGTTAGATGTATCTAGTCTATGGTAAATTTTTGTTATAAACCAACAAACAGAACTGGATCTAAAAGGACATACTGCTTTGTATGACCAAGCATGGTCTGTATGGTAAATTCCTTGAATTCTGACGTGGCATCCCAGCAATGGTGATGTCCAATGATATGGGAAAAGCATTCATCGGGTTATCAACTCTAGCGGGCGATAGGTCAGCAGTGCGTGAGTGAATCACCAGTTTTCTTACGGATATGTCTAAAGGTCGACAACAAAAGAACCCTTCTGTTTCGTTTGTTGGGCCTATGACGAGGATATGTTCTTCAAGATTGGATATCTCATGATCATGGGCATAAGTGGTCAAAATGAGGATGCAACGATCATAAGGGGCACATATATAGGTGTGGATGACAGTGTCATCGGGTACCGAAAGAAGTGGATGGTCGAAGTAGAGAAATATGAGTTTTTGATTGTTCAGTGGCCAATACGTCTTAGGTCATCGAATACTATTACACTGGTAACGGAAGTCTTGACAACTAGTACTAGTGGATCATCCATTATGTTCCCATACTAACGGATACTGGCATTGTGAACATTGATTAATCCATCCAGTACTCCCAATGACTTCGTCATCATTGAATTTTGACCACTCATACTACTGAACTGAATCATCCACAACATTCGAATCCTAATGATATACCAATGGAATACCAATCAACATTAGAATGTTACGGTAATAGAGTGCGTTGTTGTGTCATCTCGCTGAAAATCTTCAGTAGCGGATCCAATCCTATTGATCCCAACGCGATTGATCTGGGATTGATCCCAATGGACTACTTAGATGCCTTCCAGCATTCGCGATTCGAGGTCAGTAATTAACTGCGGTAACTGGAGAATATCCCAATACATACATCCCATATTATTCCACTAAATTGAGGGATACTCTACAAGCTTGATGTCCACTTAGCACATTTGTTGGCAATATCTAAGTGGACAAGTCTACCCCATGTTACCCCATATATCTCAACTTTGTCAGATACACACCATAAGAAGATATCAGTATAAATGGAAGTGTATGTTTTTTTTATTATTAATATTGTTATTATTAATCATATTATTACTATTACTATTATTATTATTATTATATATTTATATCATTATATATCCCTAATAGCCTATTATGGATCACTTTAAACTCCATGGTTGCTGCTTAAAACCCAATTGTTATGGCTTAAATCCACATGTGTACTTCTTAAATCCTAATTTTTACTGCTTAAATCCACATGTTTGCTGCTTAAATTCCCGTGATTACTGGCAAAATCCTAATTCTTGTTCATAAAGTCCACATCTTTAGTGGTTGAATCCCTCTTTTTTGACCTGTGCATATCACCGGCCAACCAGCCCCATGGCTTGCGACTTCGTCCTGGAACAGAAGACCACTGTGGCGCAAGTAGCGCTTCGTCGGCGCTTCGTGGGGTCATGGGTTGATGGGATTTAGCCTCTGGTTAATGATGGTTAGTAGAGGCATTAACCATCAACCATATGAGGTTAAATGATGGTTAAATGATGGTTAACTGATGGTTAATGATGGTTAGTAGATGTTAGTAGTGGTTAATAATGGTGGTTAATGGTGATGAATGGTGATGAATGCTGGGTTACCCTCTGGTAAACGTTTACAGAAAACTATGAAAAAAACACATTGTTTATTGGTAAATCAACTATTCCTGTGGACGTTTTCAATAGCTATGTGACATATTACCAGAGGGCAATATGATATTGGGATGATTGATTCGATGATGATGATGATGATTATGATTGTGATTAAATGATGACGATTTATGTATTGATGGAATTGATGTATTGATGTATTGACAATTGACTAGAATGATTTAATTATGGGACTATTATGGAGATGTGACAATTGAAGAATCCATAAATGACAAAACATATCAACCAATTATTGTAAAGACATCTACTCAATTAGGGGTAGCTTCTGTATTGACACTTGATTAGATAATGATGACTGGGATTTACCCATTAATACAGAAATCATAATCGAATGGATATCAACAGTACGTTGAAATATATAATACAGTATTATATATATATACATAATAATGGTCATTTGATGATGATATAAGGGTGATATAGTGGAATAATTTAACATGAACAGTATATGAATGAACTATTGGAAACATAGCTTCTGGCAATTTGATTTGACATAGCGAAAATGGAAGAAAATGGCCAATAGAAATAGATGATTTGCCTACCTAATGGAGATGATGTGGATAATGGATATATTTTGGAGAATGGATACTTAATGGAATGCCTACTTGATGATCCTAATGGATAATGAATATGTTTCGGATAGTGAATGATGGATATGTTTTTGATGATTAGCAAATCCATGTTGCAGCTTTCTTTGGGATCATTGAATCATTGGCTCAGATTTGGATGATTAGCAATCAGCGGATGATTAGTGGATACGTAATGGAACCACTACGTAATGGATAAGTATTTTTATATACTATATAAGAATGGAAATGGATACCCTACTGCAACATAGCCATGGACAATCGCCATTGAAATACGCAATAGAATGCAATAGGTATATCATCTACAAGTAGGCAAGTTTCCATGGCAAACTGTCAAATGAACAGAGTATATGTAGGATAATTAGATATAGTTAGTGGATGTTCACCAGATACGTCACAGTTTGCTATTGAACATGGCCATAGAAATAGTGGATTTACCCATCCATCAATGATGATTTTCCATGTTTTTCCATAGTTGTTTGCCATTTATAGTTGATTTACCCAGCTATAAAATGGTGATTTTCTATAGCATTCTATAGCTACGTTAGTTTACCAGAGGCTACTTGATGGAATCACTGTGGAATCATCCCGCAACCGGACAAGTCATGGGAGCCGCATCTCCAAGGTATCGTTGTTCGGGAACTACATGATGGATACTCCAATTTCTGTGACATAAATGGATCGATTCCAAAAGCAAGAGATGGGGATTTAACAATCCAAAATATATACAGTATATATATAATATATATATATACAAGATATTCATAGGCTAGGGACTCATCTAAAGCATCGATAGAAGTGAAACTAGACAGAAACGGAGATGATGGATTCAACATTTTTTATCAACGGGGGAAACTTTGGTTACACTGTTAATTGGAGGGGGTTGAGCCGAACCAGATGAAGTGGGACTGTGAGACTGTGAGAAACAGAGACGAGGACTTATTATATAATTCAAAGTTCATGAGATATCTATTAAGCCGACAAATGCCGACAAACAAATGGTGGTGAACCAGAAGAAATAAATTACAACCAACAAGCCAGCAAGACATGATAATGTGCACCTCAATAAATGGGGTACAGTAGCCCACCAGGAAAACACATGGGATATTGCCAACAAGAAATGAGAATCAACGGCTCTCGTGGGTTTAAGGAGCAAACATGTAGATGTAAACATCATAATAGTAGAGCAAACACGTGTCGGCACAGGTCAAAAATAATGACTCTGTGAGATGTGCCATGATCGAAACTTAAGCAACATACCCATAGGGGATGATTATGAATTCAATACTACTATAAGGATTCACACGCATACTGTGTATATATATATATACATACATCTATGCATATTCAATGTAAACATATATATATATGTACATATAATTTAATACATATATATATACATTATGTGTATATGCACTACAAGGATTCCCAGTCTGGGATGGATGACCATACCCCATTCATCCCCTGCCCATCATTTCTAAGAAATCCATGATGACTGGAGATATGACCATCCCATTTGATGGAAAACAATCCATGGTTTTGAACGTGGCATGGACACACATATATGTGAATCTATATATATATATATATATTTATATTTAATGATTTATATATACATATCACATTATCCCAATTAATATCCCCTGAATTTATCAAATTACCAATAATCCCACTATATCTCCATGAATATGCCATGAATATCCAATTAAATCATCACCTCAGTGGGTAGTTAGTTTGAGAGGCAACCAACCATCGGACCACGCTGCGGCTGCTACGCGGCCGTCACTGGACTTAGCACCAGTCGTCGTTAGCAACCCAAAAAGATAAAAACATCTTTCCAGGATGGTATAGATATGGAGGTTTCCAAATATGGCTGGGGGTACACCAATAGCTGGATGGTGATGGAAAATCCATCAATGGATGAGATATCTATGGGGGTAGCTCTATGACTGGATGGAAACCCCCATTTGGATGATTATCCCATGTCTGGGATGTGTAAATTAATGCAATTCCCAAGTGGTTTGCTAAGCCATAGATATACCAATTAATGGGGTACCAATGGTTATACCATATGTTATACTTGGTAATACCAAATTGTATGGGGATACCCCATATATAATAATGATTATACCAATTTATACCATGAGTATCATATAGGTTATCAAAGATGATCTATAGATAATCTATCAACTTGTTTGATAACCCATAGATGATACATCTATGAATCTATGAGAACCATCTACCATATATTCCTGGTTGTCAAGTTGTCAAGCAAGTGTACCACATTTGCCATACAATTTGTGGCTCAAACTCATGACATCAATTCATCAATTCGAGGTATCTGTGCCACCGGTGGTACACCAAATCATACTTGGAATGCCATACAATTTGTTGCATCTCTTAAACGACATGACCCTGCGAAAAGTCTGGTTTATGAGTTTTGCATGGTTTTGCCGCATGTGGATCTGTCCAAACATGATTGGGATACTTAAAATGGACTGGCATTGGCCTTCGGAGAACAATGTTTCTCATGTTTGATTGGCAGTTTTGGAGGCGCACCCCATTAAATTTCAGGTCTGGCTCAAATCTAGGTGTGACTCACAATTACTCGCACCCAATAGTGGATGATTTCCAAACTTAAAAGTCGCAAACGCTTTTTGATCTTTTTGTGGGATTTGTGAGCCAAACGATGGTGATATCTCCATGAAAAGGTGCTTCAATCCCACATCAAGTGTTGATCGAATCCTCATGACATCTTCACTTTTGTTGGTTGATCCTCAATTTTGATAATTCAAAATCCAAGTTCTTGATACTAGTAGTGAAACCCAGTTGTTACTGTAATCAAACATGGCAATTGGACATCGCCGAACTGGAGGTTTATAGCTGGGAACATGATCTAATAGGGGATTTTCCATTGCCATGTTTGATGACCGGAGGGTCAAAAGAAAAAAACGCGATAGATACCAGCTCAGTTGCAGATACCAACATTACCTAGGGATGTCCATAACCACCTCTGAAGGCGTTCCAGTTGAACTAGGGCGGCAACCCTTTGTCTGCACTAGGGGTATGGTAGATTCATAGGTTGATGGGCATACACAGCATATGGTTCAGCCAAAAATTGAAATTGAAAAAAAAAAAAGTTGTTATAAGGAATATTTTGCCTCATTTGTCTTGTATTTTTGGCCCTAAACTTGGTTTCCACTCAGCCAAAGGTTTGTTTTCAATCAACCCGAACCAAAAATCAAACACATACAAAATGTTTGCCAGAATTTAGTTTTGGGTGGCCGGAATTTAGTTTTAGGTGGCCCAACTTTAGCTTCAAGCACCCCCTACATGTTGAGATCTAGCCAAAAGTAAAACTGAATTTATAAAAGTAAATTTGAATTTTTAAAAAGTGATGAAAACCAATGTAATCTATGGCCATGATCAAATGGTTTGGATGAGACGTTCAATACTTCGTGGGGACATAATTCAATTTCATCAGGCATTATACCATAACACTGGGAGACCCTTTTACTTGCTGAATTTACAACATGTTTCTTCAGTTCAGAAATTTTTGGGGCAAATTTCAGTTCCATTAGGCATTATACCATAACACTGGGAGGCCCTTTCACTTGCTGAATCTACCAAATGTTTCTTCAGAAAACAAGCGTTGGCAAATTGCAGTTTCATCAGGTATCATATCATAACAGGGGGCGATCCATGCAGGTGCTAAAGTTACCACATGTTTTCCCCAAAAACAAAGAACATCCAAATAACAAGTGATGGTACATGACCTAAACCATCAGAACGAAAGGTCAGCAGTCAGTACGTTCTGACTTTCGAGCCAATGTCGCTGCTTGGCTCTTGCCCTGATGTGACCATGGCTGGGGTAGTGAAATAGTAGTAGGGGTTGTGCAAGTGGCACAGGAAATGCACAAAGGCTACAACAAAATTCAACCAGAATGTTCAACTTTGTGAGCTGATGATTTGACAATAAATCGACAAACAATTGCAGCGCGTGATATTTTAAAAGGAGTACAAACATAGATTGACAGTTTGACAGTTTGACTTAATTTCGAAGTTTAACCAGCACGCTACTACTGCCAGTTCATTGGTCCATCTTACTACAACGCTCATGGCAGAGGTTTGCCAGGGTCACTGGGTCCATGTTTTGGGGGTTGAGGTTGCCCTACATTCAATCAAGTCTTGCAAGACTTAAGATGTAATGTCTCCAGGGCTCCTAAAATAGTTCAGGCAATTCGTGACTCATGACCTTCTTGAGTTTCAATTGAAGCATTAACCATGCAAACATACAGCCACTTGTGGAAGGGCCGTATACCATGACCATCACTCGCCTGTAGTTACTCACCGGGTCACCACAACCATGATGATACGACAAGCATCATCAATCAATCACACAGCCACTTGATGTTCAGAACCACCACATGATTCCAAGCTAGAACAATAGGAGTGATATGGAAGCATGGAAATGAAGACTACGAGAAAGCGACAACTAAACTGTATGAACTATAAATCAACCATTGAGCAACCAACCATCAGCAACGACAGACACAGTGTGCCCCCTCTTTGCATGCTTCATCATGAATTGAAAAATGTTTTGCTTATTGAATTGTGTTTTATTTATCTAGCTGCATTTCTTCAATTTATTAACGCACACACACATACATATATATATATATATATTGAATAGCGGTCGGCTGCCTAAATAGAACGGTTTACAAAACACAGAAGATACAGGGGACAGGAGACGCAAAATTTGTGGGCAGTCCTGAATTGAAATCATCGAGCGAATCATGTCAGCTCGCCATTTTTCGGGATATCCAGCACTTCGTTTCCATCGCCTCAGCTGCAGCGTCTTCTTCTCCCGAGACGAAGCTTGAAGAACATTGCCCCAGCTTGACCTTGAAGACCCAAGTAACCTGGCCCTAGGCCAACCTCCACCAGCTTCGGGCGCGGCCTGAGTAAGATTCCGGAATAGCATTCCGGGCCAGGATTCCACGCCAGGTGTTGGGCTAGGGCGGCCCGCCCTAAACCGTTCTCAATCAGCCTAGGGCGGCCCTAGGGCAGCCTGCCTTAGGGGCCAGGTTCCAAGAGGTCAGGCTAGGGCGGCCCCTCACTCAGCCTAAGGCGGCCCATCCTAGGGCAGCCTGCCCTAGGGCTGTCTTAGGGGCAGGTTCCAAGAGGTCAGCCTAGGGCGGCCCGCCCTAGACTGTTCTCACTCAGCCTAAGGCGGCCCATCCTAGGGCAGCCTGCCCTAGGGCGGCCTAGGGCGGCCCGCCCTAGGGCAGCCTGTCTTAGGCGCAGGTTCCAAGAGGTCACCTAGGGCGGCCCGCCCTATACTGTTTTCACTCAGCCTAAGGCGGGCCATCCTAGGGCAGCCTGCCCTAGGGCCAGGCCTAGGGCGGCCCGCCCTAGGGCAGCCTGTCTTAGGGGCAGGTTCCAAGAGGTCAGCCTAGGGCGGCCCGCCCTAGACTGTTCTCACTCAGCCTAAGGCGGCCCATCCTAGGGCAGCCTGCCCTAGGGCCAGGTTCCAGAGGTCAGCCTAGGGCGGCCCGCCCTAGAGACTGTTCTCACTGAGCGCAAGCCGGGGGTTCCAAGAGGTGAGCCTAGGGCGGCCCGCCTTAGACTGTTCTCACTCAGCCTTAGGCGCGCCCCAGGGCAGCTTGCTAGGACAGCCTGCGAGAGGTCAGCCTAGGGCGGCCCGCCAAAGCATCAGAGCAGTGTCAAGACCCAGGGCGGCCTGCCCCAGGCTGATCAGTGTCAGGCTCACGGCCCGCCCACCAGCGTCAGATCGCAGGGTCAGGTGCCTAGGGTGGCCTGCCCTAGGGCATGGCCCGGTTGAATTTTTGGGAAATGTTGGTGTGCAAGGCGACTTCCGGAATCGTGGCTCAAGGGCGGAAACCACAGGCGCGGACCGCGCAAGGAAACTTGGCGTGGAATCTTGGCACTTAGGCGGGCCGCCCGAAGCTAGTTAGCTTGGGGGTTTGGCCTAGGGCCGGGCAAAGTTCTTCAAGCTTAGTCCCGGGAGAAGAAGACGCTGCAGTTGAGGCGATGGAAACGAAGCTGCTGGATATCCCGAAAAATGGCGAGCTGACATGATTCGCTCGGTGATTTCAATTCAGGACTGCCTACAAGTTTTATGTCTTCTGTCCCCTGGATCTTCTGTGTTTTGGAAACCGTTCTATTTAGGCAGCCGGCCGCATGAATAAATAAATACGTATCTAAATTCAAATGAGTATTATATATATATATATATATATGTATATGTAAATATGTAAGTCAATAAGTAGGTAAGTACATAAATAAAGAAATAAATCAATGTAATATATTATATTTATATGTATATGTTTTATATTTATATTTGTAAAAAAGGAAGATGCAAAGATTAAAAGCACAACAGCTTTATAGTATAAAACAGCTAGCAGCTAGATAAATAACAATAAACCAATAAACGAAACATTTTTCAATTCATGATGCAGCAGGCAAAGAAGGGACACACTGACACACTGCGTTTGTCGTTGCTGATGATTGGTTGTTCAATGATTGATTTATAGTTCATACAGGTTAGTTGTCGCTTTCTCGTAGTCTTCATTTCCATGCTTCCATATCACTCCTATTGTTCTAGCTTGGAATCATGCGGTGGTTCTGAACATCAAGCGGCTGTGTGATTGATTGATGATGCTTATCGTATCATCATGGTTGTGGTGACCCGGTGAGTAACTACAGGCGAGTGATGGTCATGGTATACGGCCCTTCCACAAGTGGCTGTATGTTTGCATGGTTAATGCTTCAATTGAAACTCAAGAAGGTCATGAGTCGTGAGGTGTCTGAACGATTTTGAGGGTCCTGGAGACATTACATCGTAAGTCTTGCAAGACTTGATTGAATGTAGGGCAACCTCAACCCCCAAAACGTCGACCCAGTGACACTGGCAAACGTCTGCCATGAGCGTTGTAGTAAGATGGACCAATGAACTGGCAGTAGTAGCGTGCTGGTTAAACTTCGAAGTTAAGTCAAACTGTCAAACTGTCAATCTATGTTTGTACTCCTTTTAAAATATCACGCGCTGCAATTGTTTGTCGATTTATTGTCAAATCATCAGCTCACAAAGTTGAACATTCTGGTTGAATTTTGTTGTAGCCTTTGTGCATTTCCTGTGCCACTTGCACAACCCCTACTACTATTTCACTACCCCAGCCACGCTCACATCAGGGCAAGAGCCAAGCAGCGACATTGGCTCGAAAGTCAGAACGTACTGACTGCTGACCTTTCGTTCTGATGGTTTAGGTCTTGTACATTTTTGGATACCCCAAAAGTATTTGATCCCTCAAACCATCACTTGTTATTTGAATGTTCAGTGGGGTTCCGAGAGATGCATCTGTTTCATTCACCAACTGATCGCTTTTCCCGGTGCAATGGTATGATGCCTGGTGGAATTGCAACTTGACCCCGTGAATTTCTTAATATCTTCTGAATTCCTCATATTTGTTCATTTTTTCCATGTATAACTTTTTTTGGATCACCCAGTTTTGATTTATTCAAAATTAATATGGACAGTCACTAATGTAAGGCGGGCCTGCAACTAAAATTGGAACCCCCCAAAGCTAACTTCTGGCCGCCCAAAGCCAACTGCTGTATAGAATGCCAAAGTTGCTGTAAATCCCCTGTCAGTATTTACAATTTTTTCGCTGCAGATAGAATGGCAGGTTTCCTTGCAACTTTTGTGCAAGCGCCCGACATTTATGATTGCAGAAAAATCCGTTATTGTTTTTCTAGTGCAAATTTTATCCGCTATGTTCCTATCCTGGTGGCAGCAGAATTGCACAAAACACATGTTTCACTGTTTGTCATTTTTTTTGGCCTTTTCATTTTGTTTTCATGTCACCGTTCCGCAGCCAACTGGGAAACATTAAAGCAATGAACTGCATAATTCCAACCTCATGTTGAATTGGAAGCGATCGCCTTTTTCACAGATTTGCCACATTCGGGAAACACATGCGATTTTTGCCAATCCCCTGTTTTTTTCAGCGACATGGTTTTCAGGTACTTCATTTTTGTTCGGGCTGGTTGAGAACCAATCTTTGGTTGATTGAGGGCCAAGTGTTGTTTGATTGAAAACGGTCTTTTTGCAGGTAAAACATTTTCTCATCTAGTTTATCTTTGTTTTATACATTTAGATTTTTGGTTGAACCAATTTTTTTGACCATAATCCTTTTTTTTCTGATCATACAAACCTATGAATCTGCCATGCCCCAAGGGCAAATATATTTTTTAATGAATCCTATAAATGATACCTTGGGGCTCCCATCTCATACTCCTAGCACTCCCCTAGTGCAGCACCCGGCTTGCTGCCCTAGTTCAGGTGGAACATGGTCCCAGAGGGTTCTGGACATGCCTAAACATTACCCAGATAAATCATGATCAATCATACTCAGATAAATCTATACTTAGATAGGAAACTGGATAGATACCCAACATACCTTGGAGCTGGCTTGTTTCCTTGGACCAGGAACGGAGCAGAACTTGCCGCGCATCAGCACTCCTGAGTCGCCCGTGAGTTTGAGGAAACTGGGGCGCCCCAAAAGTTGATGCGGCTCACAATCAACCTCCCCATGAAACGGATATAAACGGATGGTCATCATCCTCCTCATGTTCCCAAGAAAATTGGCACAAAACAGGGAGAAAGGTGCGCCATTTTCGGGTCGTATTGCTGGCTATATCCCCATTGGATCCCCAAATCACGCCTTTTGAAAGACCAAATGAGCCATTAAAAATATAATTGTTTGATTTGTTGGGACTTATATCATCTAATTGATTGGGTATTATGATAAGCCATAGTAAGGAAACCTATCAACCAGTATTTCATGAGATGGGATAGTGCTATTTTTGATGGCTCTGCAGGACTCTCGAGAAAAGCTTCACCAAAGTCCTTTCCGAGTCGCCACGGGCGGTGCCACTCGGCGGCCTGTGGCTTTATGTGGTTTTATAGGGATAAACATGGAATAATTATGATTCATACCCTCTACCAAGTGGCCGAACTTTTCAGGTGCATTGTAAGCTATCCAGAATCATGGTGATACACATAATAAGAAGAATAATAATATATGCGTCCTACGTTTAAGAAAAAAATGGGTGGAACCAGGTTCTGGAAAATGTTTTCCAAATAATTTCCATTTTTTACATATTTTTTTAATGTTGACATCAGCTAACAAGAATCATAGCAAAATAATTTGTGGACCCGTAACCTCCTGATGAGGCAAAAAAAATCCACCTACAGAAGTTGAAACACCTTGAGATGATTTTAAATAATTGACTGAAGGCACCCCAAAATAATGTCTCAGTTGGACAGGGGAAATTATTTCACAGAGTTCCAACTGTATAGAATAATTTTGCCAGGTTAGGCTATTGATTTCCCGGGTGGTCTAGTAGTACACCCACCCCCAAAATACTTGTCTGGTGTGAAAGGGGGTCAGTTTAGAGATGATTTATTTGATTTGTGGTGCCACCACCTCCTTTGTTTTTTTTCCACGCTTGAGCGGCTGCCCTGCCAGGCGGCATCAGACGGCATTAGATTTTGTTGATTATCATTTTGAGGTGGCTCTACTTGTTTTTTAAATCATCCATCACCTTCCACCACCTCGAAATAATTTCAAAAGAAAAAATGAGACAAGGGAACTGTTTGAGAGTAATAGCGGAACCACCACCAAATAATTTGGTTTCAACCTCTCAGAAATTATTTTGAGGGGGTGGGTAGTGTCAAAGGAAGTTAGTTTGGGGTGGGTTATAGTGTTTTTGAAAAAAATGAAGTGCCTGCTAACTAAAAGCACCTCTGCTTATTGTTTTAATTATTTTGAGGAGGCACCTAGTGTTTTTGCTTATGGTAGCCCGCACAATAATATATAATGATATGCAAAAAAGGGGAGTTATTAATATTATAGTATTTTTAATTATATATTACACAAAGAATATATGTGGTTGGATATGAGAGGGTTGATGAATTAAGATACTCCATTATTGAAATAGTGTGTTGTTATTTACTCCTAGCAACTAGTAAACAACAATATTGTGTTCTGTGTTTAGTAATATTCTATTTTTTACACATATACATATGCGACTGGAAATGAGAGGGTTAATGAAAGACACTCCATTATTGAAATGGTGTGTTGTTATTTGTTCCTACTAGTAGTATTGTTTGTTGCTTTATTATTAAACATTACACTGGCAATCATTAATCAACATATGCTCATTGAAGCTACCAATGATGTGGATACAACCTGATATATGCTGCAAACATTGGGATATATGTATATATATATATCTCTATCTATATACGTTTGGATATGAGATAACCCATCATGTTTTTCCTGACATTTTACAGAGAACCGGGGAAACAAGGCAACGTTTTTTTTTTTTTTTTAAGATGAAACTCCATTGCAAATTCCGGGATTTGCAGCGGAATGACATAGGTTCTTTCAAGTTAGATACCATCTGGCAATCAATCAGACCGGAAGAAATCCCAGTGGTTGATTGGACAATCATCTACATTCTATGTTTTTTTTTGTACCGATAGGTTTCTATTCACAGTTTAGAATACTAGAGGGTATACACGGGTTTGTTTGAAGCTGGGGTTTTCCAAATCGATTGGTTCATATAAATATAATTATATATATATATGGATTTATAATATTATATAATCATTTTCCTTTGTCAAGATGGCCCCAAGGTGAAGGAGTATAATTACCCCATTTACAGACACGTCCAAATATCATATCAGTTTGTTTATATTTCTAACGTATATGCTTAGTATGACATATATATATATTTATTTATACATATGCTTTTCTTTATTTTACAATATATAGTTTACATGCTGACATATCTACTTAGTGGCTTATATATCCCAATTTGTATATTCCCATTTTGTTTGGCTGAATTTCCCAGGAGCCCCCGGCGTGCCTTGCGCCGGGATGACCGGCTGCTGCGGCCTGTGGTGTGGAGGCCCAGGTTCCCAAAGAAATCATGCGGTAAACTGCATCCCAACTGGGGACTTCATTGGATGGTGAATGGTTGGATAAAATTGGTATATATTGGATTGTACTGGTATGATTTTATGGATATATATTGGATATATATATATATATATATATTGGATATATATTGGATATATATTGGATATATATATATATATTGGATATATATTGGATAAATATTGGATATATATCTATATATTGGATATATATTGGATATATTGGATATATATCTATATATTGGATATATATTGGATATATTGGATATATATCTATATATTGGATATATATTGGATATATTGGATATATATCTATATATTGGATATATATTGGATATATTGGATATATATCTATATATTGGATATATATATGTATATGTTGGTTTATTGTGGTACTGGTAATATGTTACTTTTGTTGAATCCATAAATCCAGTTCAACTGCCACTTTTGTCCCACGTCTTCTGGTATCCCAAATTGGGATGGTGATCTCACCGCTGACTGGTGAAGCAAGAACACAGAACAACAACATATGATAAAATGATATGTGTTTTTTGTTATAATGAATTGTTATCTATAAAATAACAACAAATACTTGCTATGAATGTATAATCAATATTATCAATAACAACAAATTCATCTATAAGATCTAGAAACATTGGGATTGATACTAATCTATAAGCATTGGGAGTATTTGTATATGATAGCAGCAGCTATTGATTCGTCGTTGAAATTCCAACTAAACGGAGTGGTTTCCCAGGACGGTTATAATGAGTCATAGCCTGAGTCGCACCCACTGGAAGTCATGGTCATCCAGGATTTGGATGATGCAAGGGGGTACCCCCATGACTTAAGAAATCTCCATATTGGTACCATTCCAGGCCAATATATATATATGTATACGCTATTATGCAACATTCAACTGGTACTGCACGTTCTGTAGGCACACTGTACTTTTTCCACACATTTGACATTCTTTGCAACACAAAGCTGGAGCTGCCAACCCATGTTCATGTAATTCAGTTGAGAAATCTACCAGCACTGGATTCCTTCTACACATTTTCTATCGTTTTTGGAGTTTCTACAGTGAAAGGGTGATTCGTGAGGCCAAAACCTGAAAGGTGTGAAGAGATAAAGAGTGACGCCTGAATTTGTCCTCGAGTCGTGTGTACGGCAATGCACCTCCATCCGGAATGAACATATAATGTTAACCTGGGGCGAACCAAAAAGAAAACTGTTTATTTGTAGGCAGGTACCAATTGTAACAATACTTGAGACATATCTAGACAACGCTTTGGGGGTGGGCCCCAAAAGAGTTAATGGTCAGGGTTTATGAATCCGAGTTTGACATTTGTATAACCTGGCAATGGACCATCACCATTTTACAGTTCGTGTTTTCCGCGGCTTTCCCCCTGTAAGCATGGGAGGTTTCCAGTCAGGTCGTCCAATTTGTGGCTGATCGGGAAAGCATGTTTTTTTTTTTCATGTGGTCAAGTCAATAATAGTGGGATATAGTAGGATATTTATGGTATAGAATGGCTTAATAGTGGGATACTAGTGGGATTATAGATATTCATATGGATATTTAATGATATCTATGGGATAAGTATAATAAACCATCCCCATTTTGGGTTTATTATTGGCTATACTATGCTATACTTCTATTTGGGATGATTTTTAAAGACCCCCATTCGTGGATGGTTACTGAGATGGTTGATCATTCGCTGAGGCAGAGGTGATACAAGCATTGGCTGCAGCCATAGGTGCTTGGCGTATCAAGATTTCTGATGAAATGAATATGTGGTAAGACCACTAAGCAGTGGTATTTTAACGGTGAATAATTGGAATATCAAGGGGATTTAAGCAACATATTGCGGGGATTTTAGCGAGATGGGATAGTGGATAAGCATGTTGTAAACGCAACGAGAATCCTCTTTTTGGGTTGCGTTTCGAATACCCCGCCTGACCTAGTAAATTTGACTATATCAATGGGTTATGGATGATGTACTCATGTTCAATCAAAGAGTTTCAACATGTTAGATTAGTCCACACCACTTGCCAGACCATAGTCAAACCAAGCATCGGCAAAGGACTGAAAAGGGCAGCAGATGTGACAAAGAATAGACATATGGTGCTCCCAAGATATATGGGTCATCTTAAAGTAACATGCACTTTCCTGGGGTTTCCTAAAAAGGGGACCCACAAAAAAACGATTGATTTTCCCATTGAAAATTACCTCAGTCGCTGGAGTGGCCTGATCCCTCACCATCCCAGACCTGCGCGGATTCTGAACTTTTTGACAATGAAACTTGGAGAAGAACTTTCAAGCGACCATTGATTTATGTACCATCTAGTTTATTGGTGGTACCTACTTGACAATTATTGAATCTTATATATTCAATTTTTGACAATTATTGGTGAATCTAGTTTATGTACCATCCAAGTAGGTACTTTGCCAATAATGAAGTACCATTCGGAATTGCCTAGGAATTGTAATTACCATCCAAGTGTAGTTTATCCAATTTAATTTGTCAGTTTTCGCTGCTCATAATTCTCTTTGCGTAATACACCAGTTTGGTCGATTGAAACCATGTTCTTTCTGGTTAGAACAGCACCTTTATGCTGGTTGAACAACTTTCTGGTCAACATCCCAAATTTAGTTGGGTAACACCCTTCTACAGTTGAAAATCAACACCCACAAGTGTCCAACGAGTGGGAACCATACTTATAATACCCGACCGTGGCCGTTCCCAAAAAATCTGTACATGTGGTTGCCTGGCCACAAGGATAGGCAATCCCTTCCTGCTGATGTTCAAGACCCCCAGGCAAAATCATGGTTTGTCTAGTCTTGGATCTACAAGAGTCTACTCATTCTGGGGCCACTTGTAGGATCTTTTAGGGGTATTTGATTTTGAGAAGAAAAGATTGTACATATTTGACTGAGTATGTCCCTTTTAAGACCCAACGCATTGCTAGTTGTATCACCAATGGATGTTCGAGATTGTCCTCCCTCCAGTATTCGAAATATTGTTCATGAATCACATGCTATTATATTCTATTCCATTCTGTATCTTAATACATATACGTATACATACGTATACTGTATATATACATATATACATATATATATACACAAATTATTCCCATTATAAGACCCACTTAATTATCCCACATATCCTATGTATAGGTACTTACATTTAGGGATATCAAATATTTATCGATGGATCAGGTGATGGCAAAGCGGTAGCGAGCGAGACGTCGCAAAGTTCCTTCCAGCGACAATGGCAGCAGTTCCAGGACCTGCTCCCCTGCCACCAAGAGCGGCTGCGTTCAGCCCAATGTTACAGGGGATTGTACTAACCAATACTGTGGGCGATTATAATTTAATCCGTTATAGAGTACAATTCAATCCAATATGATCATAATTCATTCGAGGTGACTATATCAAGCTTCATATTAGGAACGCCTATATTTGGTTGATGATTAGTTCGGGGATGATAATTACTAATCTTCATATATTGGGGATTATCAACATCCATGAGCAGGGAATCCTGTTTAATACGTATTTTGATGGTTGAGAACATGAACAGAAATGGAGAAATCATTAAGCAACCGAAAATGCAGATTCTAGCCAAAACAAGGGAACGTGGATTTACCTTCAATTTTGTTTTGTTTGAGTATGAAGTATTAGCCATTCATTTTTGGTGCATGTATGCCATCGACATGGGTGGATTTTCTTTAACACAGTTGTTTTCTTCACAGGGAACTGGGTTTGGAGGGGTTCAAGAAGGGCAATCAGAAACGATGAAAGGTCTGGATAGTGACAAAGGGATCTCCAATTTGGTTTGTGGTATTATCCACATCTTTATGTTTTGCTCCCACAAATGGGACCAACTGAGATGATTTTATCCCCAACTATGTTTCCTATGTTTCAACGTTTGTTGAGTACTTCAATCACCAGTTACTCTCAGAGTAGAAGATCATCATTGTTGGGAATTTGCATCATGCGGCTTTGAGTCAAAACTGGAGTCGCCCCAAAATTTGATCCTTCTCCACTAAAATGGACACAAAGTGTCTGGGTCAATTGAGAAGGTCTTGAGCCATTCTCAAACATGTTTGCGATGTGCCCTAAACCCACCTTGCCAGTCAAGAGGATCATGGAATTTTACAGGTAGAACACCCCCTAAAGCTAAACAGAACATCCTCGGACCCACGATCTTGTTCGAATCGTTGGCCAAGATATTGGAACACGAAAAATCAATCCGAAAATGCCAGTTGATCATCATGATCCCTTGGTCAAAGCTAGCCGCAAAAAAGGATCATCTTAAGAGCTGCCTGGGGGGTTGATCCTATTTGACCAAGAATTTTGTTATTGATTGACGCCACCAAGCGAGGAACATTATATATGGTTATATCTCCTCCCTCCCACTACTAATTACTAATGATTGTTGTTTCTAACCCCAAAAGGTTCTTTTTGGTTGTATCCCCTACACACTATGTAACAAAACTTGGCGATTGCAACAACTACCCAGATTGTATAAATCATAGGTACTGGTAGTAGTAGTAGTGGTCATTCTCTAGTACGATAAATATCGATACATCATTATACTGTAAGTCCTTCAGCAGTAGATCAAATAGTACATTATATAATTATCACTATTAATTTTCACTATTATCACTATCATCACTATTATCACTATTATCACTATTATCATATTAATTACTGTATCCCTATTAATAGTATATTAATCATCACTACTATCACACATATTAAGACACACATAGTCCCAGTTTTGCACGGTCCTATGCCATGGTTGGATGGTTATCGATCCATAGGGCTTTAACTATACCTATTATCAGTTGATGGTGGGATGACCGGAAACCCAAACAGTGACCACAATTTAAAACCGGAAACCCCCAAGAAAATGAGCACACATGTGTTCGAACGGTTCTTGCAAGTGCAGTTCTAGTTGTGGATAGATTTCACCATAGTTTTGGGGGTCATATCATCTTATATCCCAACTTATGATGGTTGTTCCATGTTGTTCCATGCTTTTCCATATATGGGGTAATTTACTAACCGTTACTAACCACGGTCATAGCCATAAGTTAGTCACTGACCCCGCACCCCCAGGAGCAGGTCCGCGGCCGCGTGGATGGCGCAGCAACACGAGATTCCGCGGCACGCAGGGCTTCGCGGCTCAAAGGCCGAGATGAACGAAAGCCAATGCGTGGAATGTATGTTTAATTAATAAATGATATGATGTAGGTATTTCATGATCATTACATATATATAATTATATATAGATATGTCATGAAATGGATGTTTGTTATGGGGAATGTCATGAAATTCAGGTTTTGAACTGGATTTTAGTGGGGAATAGCTTTTTCTGGCTGATTTTCTTTGAAGGAATTAAGTGAGAAAACTCCACTGAGAAATCAATTGGATTTTGATGGTAATTTTGACTGGGGTTTGGTGAGGAATGGATGTGTTCATGTCAATTTAATGAGATGTTGATGGATTTTAGTGGATAGTAAAATGTATTTTATGGATTTTGACTGACTACCAACAGATCGGACTTGACCCCCCAAACAAAATGAGCAACAAACTGACCATCAAAGCTAGATTAGGGATTTTTGGCCAGATTAAATTCCAAAACTTCTCTTTGCTGGCAAACGATGATCTTACGAACGTGCTTGGTGATTTTTACCAACGCAAACGGACATGAAGGTGTAAACATCAAAACTGAGAGTTTAAGCCTACAAAATCGGATACAACCGACAAACACATGAAAATATAATAACCCAGGTATCCGACGGGGATATTGTCAGTATGTTTCCAAATTGTTCACCGGCAAAATTGAAGGTTTTAATACTGTGTTCATTTTGATCATATGCCACCAAGGTATGAGTGAAAATTAGTTGTTTTTAAAGCCGTGCAGAAGTCATAAATGTGTAAGGGTTGAATTTCACGAAACATGGGTAGCGTGGTTTCTTTCCTGAAAGTGTCTATTGCCAGTGGTGCATTATCCACCAGTTGCTAGTTTTTGTTCCAATTTTCAGTTGCTTCATAGCTTCCCCGAATGCTAAGGCCCAGCAGCAACCCTGATTAAGTCTTGGATCTATGTATATACGTCATTTCATTTTGGCATCCGTTTGTTTTCTATCATGATCAGGGGTTAGATTGCTCATCTTAAAACCAGCGTATATCTTAGCAACAGCGAATTGAGACACTACTCCTATCATCTCCCAATGAAAATCGTCACCAGAAATCCCTGATGGATGCGTCGAATCTCCAGGCGCAGTCACAGTGGAAAGTGTGGCTCCGGAGGCAATCGATGGCGGATGGGATGCCAGAAAAAGACATGAGAATATGTAGAATGACGATAAAAATAGTGTATAATTATAGCACTTAGAGTATGACATATAGTATGTACTAGTATGAACTATACTTGTATAGTATATAGTAATTGATAACCACTTAATATATCTTAATATCAGAATAGATCATTACAATATTAACTAGCGCCATGGTCGTCATTATCATGCTATATATTATGATAGTAATTGAACACGGGACTATGATGAGAATCATGATGATTGTACTATTAATGATAGTAATAATATGTACTGTAATGATAGCTTTGATATCAAGAATGAAAAGATGGCAATATAGAGTACTATCACTAGAAAAGAATACATGTTTTTTTTTGGTGGTTTTGGCATGGTACTGTAATCCTATGATGTTTTTTGTTGTTTGTTCCGTTTGTTTGCCAGCGTGATTAATGATGAGAACATCGACCGACCAACCAGAGATGAGATATTGGACACTTGCGTCAATTACCTTGAGGGTCTGGGCGCCTGGGTTTTCTGAGAGGGTCATTGTGCACCAGGGTTTGTCCATGTCTGGGGGGTCGTATACTATGTTATTATTTTTGTTTATTATTGTATAATTAATTCATCACAATTTGCATGGGGAAAATGATGCACTGCACAATATCATTGGAGATGATTATGGATACTAAACTATAGGCAATGTGGAGGATGACCTGGTTTTAGCGGCATCTCAAATTTCAGCATATATTGAAGCCCAGGATTGGTTAATCGCCGCTGCTTTTTATCTCTTTTCCCAAAAGCGCACAACCACCTTTGCCTTTGCCTATAGGAATGCCGCGTGGTGGTTCCATCTCGGGATTTTGTGCTATTCCAACATGTGAAAGCATACTTGTACATACTTATACCATATCTAAAAAGTAATGTATATATTGGATTTCAAGCATGTGTGAACGTATTTAAATCACAAGTGTATATTAGAACATAGTTACAGCAAATATTATGTATTGTTGCAACATATATTTTTCTATGATGTTTTACCATGTTAGCTATGATGGTACGAACAATTTAAGCCTACCACTGTAGAACATTGAACATTCCATATATATATATATATATATGTACATACATATATATATATATATATTTACAAGTTTGCACATACCATTAGATTAGTTAAGCATATACTTATCTAATGGTGTGTAATACCATTAATTGGATCATTAGCTAATTAGCTAATTTACACATATCATTAGTGTTTAATTATCCCTGATCCAAATACTTCCTGAGAAGGTACCCAGCCATCGCCTGGATCCATTGGGAGCAGATGATTCTTCCCATTGGCGATTGGGGGGTAGATCCAGCATTTCTAGACTACCCGCACTATGTAATATATTACATATATATATATACATATGTAAATAGATATACATATTATAGCTTGCATATCCATGTACTATCCAACATATTATCCAGCTGGATATGTTAACAATATTAACAATATTAACAATATTATCATTAGTATGTATCATAATCATAAACCATAGTTGGTTTGGAGTTAAACCAACTTAGCTATCGTAAACGGGACCCCGAATTTGTCAGAATATGCCATGGTCAAAAGTTGGATGATAGAATGATATACCCTAATTGGGTGATGGTCATCAATAAATTAAACAGGGGTTTATATAATTGCCCAGTGTAAGGATTCTGCTGCAGTTGAAAATCCATTCAACGCCACCTGTCAGGTCATGAAGTGACTTCGTCGCACCACGCGACATGGCGGCTCAGGGGCCCCTTGTTTAGGCGCCACATGTGCCATGCAGGCTGCAGCTTAGACCTTGGTGGTCTTGGAAAAATCCCAGCGCGCTGTGCGCTTTGTGCCTTCATCCATCCTACATCATTTCCTTCGTCTATTGCCTCTTGTTTGAATATTGGTTGGTGGATTGGGTGTGAGCCCAGCTGTTTAACCCCTGCGCTGCCCGCTACATTGGTAGCGGAGCAGCAAGCTCCTGGACCTTCGGCATTGACTTTGAGGCCACCACCAAAGGTGATTTGCGCCTTGCAATCAGTGCTTGAGTCTTTGACTGGCAGGTCTACCTGATTGGATACTACATCCAGTTCTCCTTGGACCTTTTTGCCGAGACCTTTGGCATCAGTTGTCTTTTTGTGCTGTCAGGTGATACGACCTGATCCTTTGCTGGCCATTTTGGCCTCCTCTGAAGCTTCGTCATGTCTTCAGAGAAAGATCAACAGAATATCCCATCATGGGATGGCAGTGCTCGAACTTGGCGCCGATTTACAAGAGAGGTTTGCTGGTATGTTCGTGGAACCCCAGTTGAGAAAAGGCGCTACTGTGCCACCAAGCTTGTTGGGAAACTACGTGGGCCTGCGAGGTTGCTAGCTATGAGCTGGACCACCATGGAGTTCGACCACACCAATGGTGTCAAGGAGTTGTTGCAGAGGCTGGCAAACAGCCCCTTGGTTCGTCAAACCTTACCGAATGCTGCAGCAACATGTCAGCAGTACTTCAACTTCAGAAGGGACTACAACGAGCCAATGAACAACTTTCTTGTTCGTGAGGCACTTGGGTACTCAGAGTTTGTGGAAGCCCTCCTTCTTCTGTATGAGGACAAGAATGGAGTGAAGCAAAGCGAGAAGAACTTCGACCTCCCGGACGAAACGCCCTATGAGGAGCGATCTTGGTATGGATGGTATCCTGAAGATGCTGAAGAACCAGAGCCAGATGTACCTGTTACATCGCCTGCTGCTGCTGCAACGGCCGCTACGGCCACAGCTCCTGACTTTGGAGATGGCTCTATGGGAGCGACATCGCCGCAACGACGACCTGGTGGATCACCAAGCTACAGATCGGTTGGTGTTCCAAGCACCGCTGCTGCTGCTCAACCTCAACAAGGTCGTGATGCGATCGATGAGTTCTCCTTGGCCGACAGCTTTGTGCTTGGAGTACTACGTGGCTTCAGGCTCTTGCAGTCAGCTGGATTGTCAGCTGATGAGAAAAGAGACATTTTGTCTGCCACCAAAGGCAGCCTGGAGTTCACCGTGATCACTCAGGCTTTGCAGACTCTATGGGATGAACAATTTCTTGGACGCTCTGGTGGAACTATGTCTTCGAGGAGCTCTATGAGCGGCTATTTTCAGGACACCTTCAACGCCTTTGAGGAGCCCTATGAACCTTGGTGGAACGATGGATGGGATGAAAACTATTGGGCGGAAGCTGATTACTGGCCTGATGAAGAATGGGATCAACACTGGGGAGATGCACAACATGTACAACATGACCAACTTCCTGCCGAAGAACCTCCTGCAGAAGATCCTCAACTACAAGATGCTATGAAGGTAGAACGTGAAGCTGAAAGCTTGGCCATGCAAGCTCAGCGCTCATGGGCAGAAGCTCAAAGGGCCACCGCAGCTCTTCGTCGAGATCGTGGTTTCGGTCAACAGGGCAGTTCTGGTGATGTCAAATGTTTCATTTGCAATGGCAACCACTTTGCCAGGAATTGTCCTGACCGAATGCATCCCTCCGCCAAGTCCAAAGGCAAGGGCAAGTTCAACTATGCAGCTGAGTGGGAGAATTCCGAGCTCTTCTACATGAAGGGAAAAGGCAAGAAAGGCAAAGGGAAAGGCAAGTTTTCCAATCACATGTTGGATTCCAATGCAATGTGGAAAGGTAAGGGGAAATCCAAAAGTTCTCCAACACGTCCAGCAGTCAATGCATACATGACGGAATCACTGTTTGGTTTGGAACTTCGCTCTGAACCCTTTGAAGCGCAGTCCACCGATGCCACCAACATGCAGCCCAGTCTAGGTCTTTTAGATTGCGGAGCCACCGCAAGTGCCGGGCCAGAGACCTCTGTGCAGAAGCTAATCAGCTCTGTGTTGGCCCAGGACAAAGGAGCCACTGTGACCATCGCGAAGTATATGCGGCCTTACTTCCGGTTTGGGAATGGATGTTGGGGGCAAGCCAATTTCCGTGTTTCAATATCCTCAAGTGTTTCTGGAGTTGAAAGAACCTTTCATATGTATTGCCTGCCGGACCCCAAGAATGGTGATGTCAACAATTTGGTGCCTGTTTTACTTGGTATGGACCACCTATCTGGAAAAGATGCTCCCGAAAGTGCTCTTACGATTGATTTTTCGACTGGTTTGGCTGTGGAATCTATGAACCCCCAACCTGTTGTACATCAACTACAATCCAACAAAAAGGGTCACTATGTTCGGGACATTGTCAAATACCTCACTATGGGTTTTTCCAACCATGAAGGGTCTCCAACAATCCATGTGCTTGAGGGTGCGATCCAGTCAGCTGAGTTGCAAACACTTGAATTTCATCCAGTTCAATACTATGACATGTCCATGCAAGACAAGGTTTTTGATGAGAAGGTTTTGGAAAGGTCACGACGGAATCTTTTGGCAATTCATGCGCAACTTCATGGTCTTTCATTTTCATCCTCTATGTCATCAGCTGCTTCGGCTTCAATGTGTCCTAGCGACAAAACGACTTCCAATTCGAAGTTGCCTGCTTCCTGTGCGCGTGATGGCTCAGGAACAACCTCCAGTACAAGAACGGGGCAACATCTTGGAGCGCATCAAAGCAGCGACTCCAAAGACCAAAGATGTGCGACCCTTGGATCCCAGTCGTGCGATGGGCATGGACGAGAGAGATCCGCGGGTGGAACAAGCTCAATGGCCTTGCTTCGGACACCATGTTCCAGCGAAGGCACACAGCAATGCACACGGGCAGTGGACTCAATGCTCAGTGTGCAACCTGCGTCTCAACTATGTGCCGAAGGTGGGCAGTCACAGCGGCAGTACGAAGGTGGAAAACAGGGCAATGGTCGTCAGAATGCTGACCGAACTTCAGCCTTTGATGCGTGGAGCAAAGCCCACGGCAGCAATCTGCCTGGCCATGCAGAAGAAGATCGATGCCGAGGAAACCTTGACCCACATGATCGACAAGGAGTTCATGGCGCAGAACCC